GTGGGGGGGGTGGGGGGGGGTGGAGGTGGCTGAGACTATTCCCGCTCCACAACCATTTCCATCATTCCAACTTCACCACCCCCACTCCCTTCCTCTTTCCTTCTCTCCCTTCCTCCCTCACTCCCTCAGCTATCTCCACCCTTCCTTTCCCACGCTCCTCCCTTGTCCTCCCTACTTTCTCTCACACACTTCTTCTTCTCCTTCCTTCCACTACATCCTTACTCCCAAACTCTCCATCATCTCCCTCCCTCCTTCCTCTCCATCCTTCCACTTCCTCCCACTCACTTCCTTCCTTCCCTATTTTCTCTCCCTCCGCCTCCCTCCCTCTTCTCCTTCCTCCCACTCCTCCCTTATTACACACCCTCTTTGCATTCCCAGCTTCCTCTCTCCTTCCTTGCCTCCATCCTCAGTACAGCACAGCTCAGTATGTGGTGTGTGAGAGCATTGCCACCATCTCCCTGCCCATTGCTCGGGCACATGTCCCATCCCATTGAGCCATGGGGGCACCAGATGTTGGTGCGGAAATTAAGCAGCAGCTGCTGATCTCTCCATAAACCAGTCAAGAGTGGATTCCAAGCCCTCGTCACCTCAATTTGTCAGAGTCCTGTAGCTCAGTGGTTAGAGCACTCGATTTGCAAGCAAGAGACCTGAGTTCAATTCCAGGCAGAGGGCGAAACCTTGGGCAAGTTTCTTTACTCCACACAGAGCCTAATAATAATCCCTCAAAAAAACAAAAACAATAATAAATTGGTCATTTTCAATCTACGACTGTTTGCGGGACACTGTTTTGCGCAATTGGCTGCCGCGTTCGCCCACAAATATACAGTCAATTCACTTTACAGTGTGTTCTGTGAAGCGCTTTGGGACGTCCTCCCGACGTGAAAAGCCCTATATCAAATGCAAGGATTATTATTATTATTAATATAGAGATACACTCCTTGGTCTGAATTATACCATCTGCAGGGCTGAGGATTGAGGCAGTTAAACACACTGACACTGACCCACGTGAAGGACCTTATATTAATATAAGTTTTTGTTGATTTATAGAGAGAAGGTAAACTCTGAACTCAATTATATCAATTGCACGAATAAGCTGTGAGGATTTACACAGATAATCTACACCAGCAACAATTCACTGTAACTGTAGAGCTGAGCTGTGAGGCAGCAAATGTGGCAGTGCAGTCAGATATAGGCTGCATTATCTTGTTTTAACATAAGCCATTATTAAATGTTGCTTCATCAGCTGTAAATGGAGTGGAGGCTGTGAGGGGCTGAGACCAGCTGTTGTGTTGTATGCAGTGTGAGGACAGACTGTGGGGAGCAGAGTGGACAGGGATTGAATGACTCGGACACGAGGAGACACAGAGATGATTCAGGTCACAGCTGATGGCTCTCAACATTCGCAGTAAGTTCTCGGCCTGTGCTCACGAGTTAGGGCTTTAATATTGAGGATCATTTATAGCCAAATGTGTTGGGAATTCTCCCCAGTGAGACAGACTGTCTATATGTCAGTATATTCCCGAGCTCCACACACCTCACTCACTGGCTGATATTCTCCAGGTTTCTGACTGAAACCATCAATAAGACAAACCTGAGCTGTCGGCACTTGGCAGTGCGGGCACCAGACGCTGGATCCCTTCAGCTCCAATGTTACAGTGGTGAGATCGAGGTTTCTATGGTGTCACAGAGCTGTAACACATGAGACAGCACAGCACAGTCCAGAGGGTTCAATGTGAACCCACTAAGTCCAGTGTCCCACAGCTCCGAGTGTGACCTGGGCCAGAGTGTTGTTCTGAGACTCAAACAGATAGTACATCATGTTCAGCAGCTTCCTTTTACCACTTCACTCCCTGACTGTTTAATCGCCGCCTCAATATTCATCTTCAGCCAGGAGATGGCTTCACAGACTGACGCGTTAGGTAACGGCCCCAGGATCTCCTCCAGCTGCCGGGCTGTGTGTGGCCAGGAGAGACCCACAACAAACCGCAGGAAGATCTCAAAGCGCCCGTCGCTCTCCTTGTGAACCTGGTGAAGCAGCTATCAGTTCCTGCGGACGGGATTCAGGTACTGAGCGAGAGCAGCCACAAACTCCTGGACGGTGAGGTGAGGGAATGTGTACACAACTCGTCTCCCACCATCATCCTTCTCCAGAATCTCCATCATAAACCCTGAGATGAAGGTTGAGGGTTCAAGCTGATGGTGAGAGAAATGGTCATCATCGAACACAATGGTCCTGTTACAGACCCCCTCATAGGCCATCTCCCCGGCTCTCAGCATCACCTCCCGAGGGCTCTCAGTAGCTCGGGGATGGTTCTTCAGGATGTTGTAAATGTAACTGGAGTACAGCTGTGTGATGGTTTTGGGGGAGGCTGTTTGTGCTCTGGATGTTTGAAGATTGGCTCCAATGTGCAGCAGAGGATCCAGCAGTAGGAAGGGTTGAAGCACATGGTGTAGAGGATGTCATTTTCCTTCACATATCTCAGCACTTCAGCTGCAATCTTCTCATCTGGAAAGAAGCGTCTGATGTAATCTTCCCTTCCCTCAGCGAAGAATCCCAGGATTTCCGCCCAGAGGTTGGTGTGGATGTGATCTAAAGACTCCAGAGCAGTTGGGCGGCTTGTGATCAGCACTGAACAGCCTTTCAGTACTTCCTGCTGCACCAGAGAGCGCACAATGTCAGCCACGGTACAGAGGCCTTCCGGCCCCGGGCAGCTGACCCGAGGTACTGTGTTTCTTTCACTGTCTGTGAACTTAATCCTGCCCTTGAACTCGTCCAAACCATCAAACACAAACAGCAAATGTTCCGGCTTCTCCCAGATCTTGTCCAGAACATCCTGAAGATAAGGATATGATTCCAGGACCATAGTTTTCAGGCTGGACTCCCCTTTTATTACATTCAGGTCACGGAATTTGAAATGAAAGACAAAGTGTAACTGTGGATAGATCTTCCCTGTGGCCCAGCCATACAGAATGTTCTGCACCATGGTGGTTTTCCCAATCCCTGCGATTCCACTCAGGATGGTTGTTCCGAATGTAGTTCCGAACAGCTCATCCGGTTGTATTTTCTTCAGCTCCTTCCTGACATTCTTCTCTTGCCACTCCTCATGTTCTCTGCCTCTCGCAACCAGTTCATGCTCCACCAGCCTCCGCTCACGGGGAAATGAAGTGACTATTAATTCTGTGTAGCGGTCAGACAGCAGAAATGTCTTGGTCTTCTCCCGTCCTCCCAGGGTGTTTACTGACAGCTTCTCATTCTGGGCGCGGAGGGTTTCTTTGTGCTGTTTCTGAACGTCTTAAAGTTGAACAACAGATCCCCTCAGTATTGCTGCACAGTTATTACAATAACCCAGTAAAACAAGTGCACATATTTCAATTGATACGTGCATTCACACTCAAACATACACTCATATATACAAAACACACCCACAAAGTAATAGTAATCCTTGCATTTTATATGTCTCCTTACCACTTCTTCGAGACGTCGCAAAGCGCTTCACAGGATATACTGCAAAATATAGTGACTGTATATTTTGTGGGCAAAAGGCATCAGCGAATTGTGACAGCATTGTCCTACAAACAGCCGTTGATTGATTGACTAAATTAATGTTTGATTTTGAAGGGATTGTTATCCCTGGAATGCAATCCTCAATCGACTGACAAGTGAGTTCAATTACTGCTGAGTAAAATGAGGAGTGTGGAGAGGGGAAACTTGCCTAAGGTTTCACCCTGACCATGAATTGAACCCCAGGTTCTCTCGCTTGCTCAAGAAAATGTACAATACTGAAATATATTATTCACTCTAACCAGTCCTTCATAGTGTTCAAATTGTACACAAGCCACCACCGTCCATATACCCCATCAACAGTCAACAGTGGACCCCTCTACGCTCTCCTTTGTCAATTACACATTTAATATTTACTTTGTTAATTTGTGAAATAGTTCACATAATTAAAATAAATTAAATACAGTTGCCTTCATTTCACAGTTTAGAGTGTATCCCAATGGTCTGAATTGTTTCCCATCCTCCCCAGGATCAACTTATTCCAGATCCCCAGTTGGTGGATTTCTAGGCCCATGGTCTGACTTTCAAATACTTTCGTGTTGTTTGCTCTCCTGAACTCTGCCACATTCACCAGCTCTTTTCTGCTGCCCATACCCAACCCCTCCCAATTCCCAACCAATGCTTTTCGCTTCATTCCCAAATTGTCTTGTAAAACAAGTCGTGGAGTCCTGTAGCTCAGTGGTTAGAGCACTCACCTGGAAAGCAAGAGACTTGGGTTCAATTCCTGGCAGGTCAGGGCGAAACCTTGGAGTTTGCTAACTCCACACGGCAAATAATAATCTCTCCAAAACAAAGCAATAATAAATTGGTAATTTTCAATCCGGGACTGTTTGTGGGAAGCTGCTCTGCACAATTTATTGCTGAGTTTCACCCACAAATATACAGTCAATTAACTTTACAGCATATTCTGTAAAGTGCTTTAGGATGTTGAGAGGACGTGAAAAGCGCCATATCAAGTGCAAGGATTATAAACATTTGATGAGTTTCATGCTTGGAGAAATTGATTTTATGAAAAGCAAAATGTTGTCATGTTTAATATCACTTTGATGTCTCTGAAGGATGTTGTCGTAAAGATACACTGACCTCTAAGCTCTTCTGGCACGTTCTCTTCACACCAGCTCCGAAATACCTCAGTGGGAAGTCTGTTACCTGAAAATGTTTAATATCAGTCAGTTGTGAAAATGAACCTGACAGAAGAGCAAGCCTTTATTTTGGCTGTTTATTAATATCATTATGGAATACTTTCCACTTCCATGTGTAGGGCGATGTCACCTAATTCTATCCCTTTAGCCTATACACTGGATTCAGTACTCGGTTTTGACCAATTGCCGTCAGATATCAAGTTCAGATTGAGCTGAAACTATCTCCATTTAAATGTCGACAAGACATAGCTCTCCTGCCTTGGCTCCCGTCAGCTCCTGCTGAGTTTATCCCCTGGAAGGGAGCTGCACATTATGAAGACAGTGACAACCCTCTGGGTCTGGATTGATCAGCTTACTCTTCCAACCCTCTGCCTCCGCTCGACTGGCTCTGGCCTCCTATTTGTTCCCCATGAGTGCTTTCAGCCAATACGCCCCGAAGCTCTGGAGTTTTCTTCCTCTATCCCCTCGCCTCGCCCGCTCCTTCCTTATCTTCAGCTCACTCTTCTTCTTCGACCGCGCCTGTGGTCACCCCAGGCTCAGTGTCGTGCTCTGCCACAGCTAAGTGCTCTGGGAGGCTACACTGCATGATGGGGCGCTATATAAATACAAGTTGCTGTTGTTCTTCGCTTGGCTTTGCCTCACATCAGCAATATTGCCTATCTCCACCATGATGCACGGGTCCAGATACATTCCTTCCAATTTCCGGCCAATTACAGCAACACTTTGCTCCTTGGGCTCCTCGTCTCTTCACCTGCACAAGCTCCGGACAAATCTTCAGCCCCTGCTCTCTCTCACAGCAGACTCTGGGCCTATATCCTCCAGCCCTGCATGACTCCACTGACTCCCCTTCCACAAGTGGATTTCAGGTTTCCCATATTCTCAATCTTTCTATCCCTCCACGTCCTTCATATCTCTCCAAGTTCCCCATCTCCCCTCGTTCAATTGCTGCATGAAAGGCTTCCTCTTTGACGGTCCTCATGACCACCCCACACCACCAAGCTCGGAGTCAGGCTCCACCACTCTTAAGCGCTAATTCGCTATTCTGCGTGAAGGGTGATATATAAGAGCAAGTGGTTGTTGTTGACAGTTCTATCTCAGGCTCCCTCTCAACTGTGCGATCTGCTTAGAGATGGCCTTCAATATGAAGTTGCTGTATCAAGCTATCAAGTAGCTATCAAGCTTCCAGCCCATCTCCAACCTCCCCTTTCTCTCCAAGGTCCTGGAAAGAGTTGTCGCCTCCCAACTGCGCTCTTTCCTTTCCACCCACTCACTTTTCGAACCCCTTCAGTCAGGTTTCCGTGCTGCCCATAGCACAGAAACTGCCCTGGTCAAGGTCACCAATGATATCCTGACCATCTGTGACCAGGGCTCCCTCTGCCTCCTCGTCCTCCTCGACCTATCGGCAGCATTCGATACGGTCGACCACGCTATCCTACTCCACCGCTTGTCCTCCCACCTCAACCTTCAAGGCACTGTCCTTGAGTGGTTTAGGTCGTACCTTTCTCACCGTCTTCACTTTGTCTCGACAAATGGTTTCTCCTCCACGCCCCGCACTGTCTCATGTGGTGTCCCTCAGGGCTCTGTCCTCGGTCCCCTCCTCTTCACCCTCTACATGCTCCCCCTCGGTGACATCATCCGCAGACATGGAGTTACCTTCCACATGTATGCGGATGACACCCAACTCTACCTTTCCTCCTCTACTCTCAACTCCACGACCACCGATGTGCTGACAGCTGCCTGTCCGACATCTCTGGACGAGAGACAACTTTCTTCATCTCAACGTGCGAAAAACCGAGGCCCTCCTGATTGGCTCACGTCAGCGCCTCCGCACCTCAGGCGCTGACAGCATCAGCATCCGAGGCTGCACTCTCCACCTCTCAAAGCCAGTCAGGAACCTCGGCGTTTTGTTCGACCCTGAGCTGTCCTTTCTCCCTCACATCCACACCACAACTGGCACTGCCTTCCATCACCTCCGGAACATCGCCAGACTACGGCATTACCTCACCAGTCACGCTGCTGAAACCCTAGTTCATGCCTTTATCACCTCAAGGCTGGACTATGGGAACTCTCTCCTCGCGGCCTTCCCGGCCCTCCCTCAACACTGCAGGTCATTCAGAACTCTGCAGCTCGTGTACTGTCTCAGCCAATTATTCTGGCGTTGATTGACAATAAATTGAAGCTCTCCCAAAAATGCTCTGTGAAAGTAAGTAAAGCAAACCAGATATTGGGATGTATCAAAGGCTCAATAGCAGCCAAAGAGTGGGAAAGTCCTACAACTGTATAAATCACTGGTGAGATTGTAATTAGATATTGTGTACATTTCGGTCACCACAGTACAACAAGGATGTTCGAGAAATGGAGAAGATACAGAGCGGGACAACCAGAATGACTGCGGGAATGGAGGGACTGGACTATGAGGAGAGACCAACTAAATTGCCCATATTCACATTGGAAGAGGAATTTGAGAGGCGACATGTTTGCTGTCTTTAAGACTGTCTCTGAAACGTCTCAAAAATGTCTTTGAGATTCGAGAGTGATAGAGAATACGGATCATGATAGGCTGCTTCAACTTGTCCTGTATATTAGAACCAGAGAATACGACCTGAGATTGAAAGGGGTAAATGCAGAAGAAATCTCCGCACAACTACTTCAGGAGGCGAATAGTGAACCTGAGGAGACGGTTGAAGCCGGAAATGTTGATTCTTTCAAACAGATGAGATAGTTTTCTTTTAGGAACTAACTTTATGGGATAGAGTACAGAGCGACTTTGGGGAATATGTGAATGTTACCAGCAGGAAGTTGAAAGGCGAACAAGATGGACCTTGGTCTATTTATCATCTAACACTTCTTATGTTCTTATCAACATCTTATGTTCTGATCCAGGCAACTGATGGTTGTTTCCTTGACAGATACCTCTCACTGGCTTGCCACCACCTACTCACAAACACTGGTCATGGTGTCAGTGTCTGGTGCCTTGTCTGACTCACTCCTTTATTTTGTTGCCACTTTCATGTCTACGATTTTTGTTATTTACCAGATCTTAAACCAGACACTTCCTCAGTCCGGATTGACCTGACCCTAGTTATACCCTGGTGATTAAACGCCCATTTCCCCACAAACCGTAGCTACAAACATGAAAGTATTGCATTTCCTTCAGCTTGCATCCAAGTGTGTCAAAATCCGACACCCAGCACCCATCCTCACCCCCCTCCCGCACCCACCCCCCACCCCCAACACACTCATAAAAAACTTCTGCGATTTATAGTTTCCTACCATTTTCCTGGATCTCTCTCAGGATTGCCTTCAGCTGTGGTGTATTTTCCTCTATTTTCAACAAAGCGTCCCACATTCCTCTCTGCACTCGGCTTCTCGCTCCAGTCACTAAATCCAGAAGATATCTCGATGCTTCCTGTCTCTGCTTCCTGTTTGCCAGGTTTCTTATGTGCTGTAGGAACAGAAACAAACGTGTTATATTGCACCCACACTGCTTTGAGACAAATGGCTTTATTCTATGTTTTAATTTTGGAGTCAGAACTCTCTCAATCTGCCCAATTTGCTAATCTTCTGTTGTCAATCAGCCGGGCTTATTTAGTAAGATTTTTGTCTCTGAGTCTGAAACTTGTGGTTTCCAGAATCACGTCTAGACACTGAACTCACAGTCTGGGTTGCCTCTCCAGTGCAAACCTTGGGGATGTGCTGCAATTGCTGGAAGTTGTTTTCCTACAGAATAGACGGTCCAACAAGGCCGGATTCAGCTGTTTAGGTGAATGTGAAATTTTTTTTGGATTAACAAAGTGTCTGACACATGTGGAAATCCATCACTGTTGCTCAAGAGTATCCAGACCAAGCTGAGAAGTCCATGGTTCACGCATACGCTTGGAAACCCCAGAGATAGATTGTTGGAATGGAATAACCTCTCTTTCCCTGGAGGGAGGCATCCTGCTTACATAATTTCGGAAAGTATTAGATGCAGGTTGGCAACAGGCAATACATTTTTTTTTGTGGGGGGAGCCCAGAGTGAGCCTAGTTAGGGTAACTGCTGGAATCTAGCGAGTTAAACCATACAGCTTGCCATTGATAAGCGCTGCCTGATAAACTATCTCGCTGCTTTCCCAGCTAGGATGAAACTACCCGTTCGTTATGGATTTGGCTACAGTGTTAGCAGCAGCCTTGAGGAAGGAGACCCCATTTATTTACAACCCCAGTCGCCCTCCCGCTAGAAGCTAAACAGTCACTAGCTGGCCGTTCGACAGGCGCAAGTTTGAACCTCACGTTTTGGATGGTGTTATGCCAGGAACTCCCTGAGCGCTTTCCGATGGGCAACTTATGTCAGCATGAAATGCGTTAGAGCAATACCACATCTTCCTGTCGCAGCTCGGGCACGGATCCCTTCCATTAGAGGTCACACCTTCCAGGAGCTGTCGCCTCAAGGCACAGAGTGTCCTCATCATTTGTGTTATCTGACTGTCATCTGTACATCTGCATTCATCTTACATAGATTGGCTTCTGTGTTTGTCTACACAATACAGAGTCACTGCACCATACAGGGTGTTGTGAATGGCAATGGAAGGTAACTATTATTATTACATTTGTAAAGCTATATTTTTGAGCTTAAGGTTTTTAAAGGTTTTTAAGAACATACGAACATAAGAACATAAGAATGAGGAGCTGGAGTAGGCCATTCGGCCCTTCGTGCCTGCTCCGCCTAACTCTGATTACCTGCCCTATCCCCATATTCCCTAAACCCTCTATTTTTCAAGAATCTATCAGCCTCAGCCTTGAAAATGTTCAAGGACTGAGCATCTACAGCCTTCTTGGGTAGTGAATTCCATAAGTTCACTACCCTCTGAGTGAAGAAATGTTTCCTGAACTCTGTTCTAAGAGGCTGACCTTTAATTTTAAGACTGTAACCCCTGGTTATAGATTCTCCTACCAGGGAAACAGTCCCTCTGTGTCTACTTTATCAGCCCTTTAAGAATCTTCTAAGTTTCAATAAGATCACCCCTAATTCTTCTGTACACTAGAAAATACAGCCCTAGTTTATTCAGCCTATCCTCACAGGTCAGTCCCCTCAGTCCAGGAACTAACCGAGTCAATCTACGCTGCACCCCCTCTAGGGCAAGTATGTCCTTTTCTAAATAAGGAGACCAAAACTGCACACAATACTCTAGGTGCGGTCTCACCAAAGCCCTGTATAGTTGCAGCAAGACTTCCCTACTCTTATATTCTAAACCTTCCGACATGAACGCTAACATGCCGTTCGCTTTCTTCATTGCTTGCTGCACCTGCAAACTAACTTTTTGGGACTGGTGTACAAGGACACCCAAATCCCTTTGAATACTAACACTATCTAACTTCTCCCCTTCCGGAAAATAAACTGTTCTTTTATTCTTGCTACCTCGGTGAATAATTTCACACTTGCTAGCATTGAATTCCATCTGCCACCTACTTGCCCGCGCCCCGAGCCTATCTATAGCTTGTTGCAATCTTTTTGCATCATCCTGAGAGTTCACTCTGCTACCGAGTTTGGTATCATCCGCGAATTTAGACACCTTACATTCAATGTCCTCGTCCAGATCATTGATGTAAATAACTTTTCATTTATCATTATATACTTCTAGAATGTCACCTGCTCGTAATCCTTTAATAAGGTGGGATTGATTTGAGGACTCGCTTAGCAGAGGTTGAAAGTATCTTTGCCGGTTGAGTCAGCTTCCGATTACATTTCTTATTTTTCTAGGAAGATGTTCACTCCTCTGAGAAAATGAGCAATCGGGACATTAATCACAGATCTCAGAAAGGAAACGCTTTACCCTCAGACACCTGCCTTCTCAAGGCTGAGAAACAAGCAGGCTGGGGAAGGCTGGAAAATAAAAGGTGTCCATCTATCTTTCTCCCTATCATTTCTTTTCCCAAGGAAAACTAGCCTGCTGATAGTTACCTGCAGCTTGCGAAGTGTGATGGCTATCTTTTTTGCAAGGGGAGGAGGAGTTAGGAACTATTAAAAGAAAGATGTAACTGTGAAATCGTTGGAGTCGACTTGGGAGATGGCGATTCTGCACAGCTGGACCTGCTAATATGGATTTTACTGTATGTATGGAATGTATTTTCTCAGTTCGAGCTTATAATAATAATAATAATAATCCTTGCATTTGATATAGCGCTTTTCACGTCGGGAGGACGTCCCAAAGCGCTTCACAGAACACACTGTGAAGTGAATTGACTGTATATTTGTGGGCGAACGCGGCAGCCAATTGCGCACAGGAATGTCCCACAAACAGTCGTAGATTGAAAATGACCAATTTATTATTGTTTTCGGTTTTTGGAGGGATTATTATTAGGCTCTGTATGGAGTAAGGAAACTTGCCCAAGGTTTCGCCCTGCCTGGAATTCAACTCGGGTCTCTCGCTTGCAAAGCGCGTGCTCTAACCACTGACTTACTGAACAACCTTTGGATTATTACACAATCATATCAGCCGTCCCCATTTGAAACTCTCAGATATAAGGTTTGTCCATCATTGCAACAACAACAAGATTCCATTGACACAGCGCCTTTCACGTCGGGAGGACATCCCAAGGCGCTGTACATTTGGGTCAGGACATTACATGGATAGCTTAGATATACAAATAATAATCCTCCCATTTGATATTACAGTTCATCACATCATTGAAACGCCGCAATGCACTTTGCAGAAATTATTATAAACTATATACATTTTGTTTTAATTGTGTATATTGTCAGCAGATGAACCTAATTGCACAATTAGAAATTGATGTTTGTGTAACATTCTAGCTCCTGGAATGTTTATTCAGGTCACTTGAATGTGGGATTGGAATCAGTTCCTCTGAACAATGTAACATGTGAGACAGGGCTGTACACTCTGAACTTTCACCAGGCACACAAGTGAATTTCAATGTTGCTCAACCTACTGCAAACTGTCTGCCTCTCAGTAGTTTCTCCAGCATCAATGTCAAGTCCTCCACCAGATCATCCATCACTTCAAGTCTCTGTCTGTAGAACACAGTCACCATGTGCAGCTCAGAGTCGCTGTAACTTTTCAGAATTTGTCTGATTGCAATTTTGTCGTCATCTGACAATATATAAGGCACAGGAGAAGGAAATTAGAGCACTGGAGATAATTACTTCATTGGACAAGGGAGAAGTCTGTGGGGAAGAAGGCCTGAGTGCAATACAAAGTACCATAGACGAGGAGACAGGGCACTTGGGGGTAGGATTCAATAGGAACATTGTAGTCATAGGCGATTCAATAATTAAGGGGATCGAGGTGATCCTCTGCTGTCGAGATCAAGACCCCAAGAAAATGTTGTCTTCCCTATGTCAGCGTAAGGGATATTTCAATGCAGCTGGAAAGGAAATTGGAAAGGAAGGGGACAAAACCCGTTGTCGTTATTCATGCGGGAACCAATTGTTGGAAAGAGGAAGAAGGTTGTCCTGCTGAGGGAGTATCAAGAGCTGGGGTTAAACTACATATACAGAACGATCTCCGGATTGCCACCCGAGCCACGTGCTAATCGGCAGAGATCAACAGATGAGGGAAATGAATGTGTGGTGTGAGGAGCAGGGGTTCCATTTCATGGGACACTGGCAGCAGTACTGGGACAGGAATGAACTATTCTGCTGGGATGGTCTACACCTGAACTGAGCTGCTACCAAGGTTCCAGCGAGAAGGATAAGTAGGACGGTCGAAAAAGCTTTAAACCAGTGAAGGGGTGGGTGGGTAGAGGATACTGTGTGGGGAACAACAACCAAAACATAAAGCAACGCGATGATGAGAGCAAAAGTCATAATACATACAGTGATACACACATAAATACTACAGGATGAAACAAGCTAATCGGATGTTATGTCAAAAATGTGTAACACGTCAAACAGGGAGAGAGGAATATCATGAGGGCATTTGGGCATAACGGGGACAGTTACCCAATTAAGAGTTATTTCCACAAATGCACGTGGCATAAGAAATAAAATAAGTGAATTACAAGCACAAAATTAGCTTGAAGGCTATGTTGTATTAGCCATCTTTTTCAATGCTGGGCAGGACTTGGAGCTAAATATTCCAGGCTATAATATCTATAGAAGACAGGGATATCGGGAAAGGAGGAGGAGTAGCATTATTGACAAAATACCCTGTAACAGCAGTGGAAAGAAAATATCAGTCAGGGCGATCGGTTATGGGAAGAGGGAGAGCGGGCATTAAGGTTGATCAGGGCTTTTGGGGGAGAGTGTGGGAGTGGGATTAATTTGGAAAAGCTGTTTTCAAGGAGACACAGACAGGATGGGCCGAATGGCCTCCTTCTCTGCTTTATAATTCTATGATTCCGTGATCAACCTCAATGGAATGAGAACTAAATTGACCACGGTAAACTGGGATGAAATATTAGTGGGGAAACCTGCAGACAAAAAATAAGAAGTATTCAAAAATTATTTGATACAGTAGAGAACAAGTACCTAGTCCAAAAATGAAAAAGCACAAATCGTGCAGTTGAGCAACCATGGGGCGCAAAAGAGGTAAGAGACTGCATCAAGCTAAAAGAAACGGCTTACTCATATGCAGGAAAAAAGTGGGAATACAGATGATTGGGAGAACCGCAAAAGGCAACAAAAGTGATAGGAGGAAACCAGTAATAGGAGCAATGAGGGAATATGAAAATAAACTAGCAACGGATATTAAAACTAATAGTAAAAGCTCCCATAGCTATAATTAAGAGAAAGAGAATGAGTGGTCAAGTTTAATGTGGGCCCATTAAAGATAGATGTAGATGAGACTCTAATGGAAAATAATGAAATGGCTTGTTAAGTAAATACTTTGCTTCTGGATTTACAGTTGAGGATGAGGACAAAATCACAGCCATACAGGACAACCTAAGCATAAGTCAAAGTGAAATGCTTAATAAAGTTAATATACATAAAAATGGTAATGGAGAAAACAATGAGTCGAGTCGCATGATAGACAAATCTCCAGGAAATGATAATTTCCACCCAGGATTTTAAAATGAATAGGAGAGGAAATTGCAGCTGCATTCGTCAATATTTCCCAAAATCACAAGATTCACGAATTGTGCGCTTAGATTGGAACACTGTGAATGTCACCCCTTTATTTAAGAAGGGAGCGAGGGAGAAAGCAGTGAACTATAGACCTGTCAGCTCAACGTCAGTTTTAGAAAAGATCCTGGAATCCATCAGCAGGGCCAGATTATCTGAACAGTTGGACAGCTATGAGCTAGTCAAAGAGAGTCACCGTGGATTTGTGACAGGAAGGTCGTCTCTGACTAATCTAGTCGAATTTCTCGAGGAGATCTCTAAAATGCTGGATGAGAGAGTGTCTATGGATGCTGTTTATATGGACTTTCAGAAGGTATTTTATAAGGTTCCGCACAAAAGATTAATACCGAAAAATGAAGCACATGGAGTTGAAGGTAACCTTGTGACGTGGCTCGGTAATTGGTTGGGAGGCAGGGAGCGTAGGGATAAAGGGGACGTTCTCTGACGGGCGGGACGTGACAAGTGATGTCTCCCAGGGGTCGGCACTGGGATCTCAGCTATTCACCATATATGCAACATATATACAGCTATTCACCATATACGAACCAGATATACACCCCCTATTCACCACGTATATGACGTTAAATGCGCTCTATGAAGATAAGTTTGTGGTTATTGTTGTATGCACCTATATAATTTATAATTGACTTGGATGAATAAATAGAAAGTGTTGTATCCGAGATGGAAGACCCACTAAGCTAGGAGGCTCAGTGAGTTGTTGAGATGGAAGTAGGAAGTTACAAAGGGAATTAGACAGATCAAGTGAGTGAGCACATTTGTGGCAGATGAGTTCAATGTAGGGAATTGCAAGGGCGTCCACTATGAACCGAGAAAAGGAAAAGCAGAATATTTTCTGAATGGAGAGAAATTAAGAACTATGGAGGAGCAAAGAGATTTGGGTATCCGTATCCACAAATGAAAAAAAACTAGTTCCCAGGTGCAAAAAGTAATCGAAAAGGCGAATGGAATGTTGGCTTTATCTCAAGATGCCTGGAATAAAAAGGAGAAGAACTGATGCCTCAGCTGTACAGAGCGTCAGCCAGAACCCATCTGGCGAGTGCGTTCAGTTTTGGTCCTGGAGGGGGTACAGCGCAGTTTCACCAGAATGCTACCAGGCCTAAAAGGGTTAAGTTACGAGGACAGACTGCTTAAACTTGGATTGTGTTTTCTTGAGTTCAGAAACTTGAGGGGTGATTGGATTGATTTATTTTGGACGATAAAGTGATTCGATCGGGTAGATACAGAGAAGCTATTTCACCTGGTGATGGAATCCAAAACAAGGGAGTATAGCCTTAAAATTAGTAATAGGCCATTTAGGAGTGAAATCAGGAAACATTTTTTCCACGCAAAGGGTGGTAGAAATCAGGAATTCTCTCCCACAAAAGGCTGTAGATGCTGGATCCATCAACACCTTCAACAGTAATGTTATTGGTATTGAGTAAGCCTTATTAAGTGTATTAATGTATATCAGGAGAAAGCGGGAAATTGGAATTGAAAATATAAGTTGAGGCACACATCAGCCACGATCTAACTATATGGTGGAACAGGCTCTGAATGCTTAACGGTCTGCTCGTGTACTTATGTTCTGTGTTCCAGGTGAAATTCTATGTGAAGAAATGTAAACTAATTTACATGGGGACAGAATATCCAGAAAATGACTATTATTTGAACGGAAGGAAAATAGTATATACGAAAAATTAAAAGGACCTGGTTGTTCAAAAATAAATTGAAGCTCTCCCAACAACGCTCTGTGACAGTGAGTAAAGCAAACCAGATGTTGGGATGTATCAAAAGATCAACAACAAGCCTAAATCGTGGGGTAATTGTGCCACTGTATCAATCATTGGTGAGACTGTACTCAGAGTGCTGTATATGGTTCTGTTCACCCCAGTAGAAAAAGGATATTGGCAAAATCGAGATGATACAGAGAAGGCCATTCAAAACGGTGAGAGAATGGAGAAACTGGATTATAAGCATTGACTCAGTAAATTGGACATGTTCACGCTGGAAACGAGAAGATTGAGAGGCGACCTTATTGCTACCTTTAAATCTCCAAAAGGGGCAAAACAATATAGATCACGGCAGGCTGTTACAACTTGCCCAGAATAGTAATACCAGAGGACAGACAGGGCCTGCGATGGAATGGGGTTCAATTCAGAATGAATCTGAAACCTCTTCCAGTGAATGAATAGTGAAACTGTGGAATTGGCTTCCTAGGGTGAAGGTTGAAGCAGAAAATGTTGATTCCTTCAAACGCAGGAAATAACAATAAGGGATATAGTAAAGAGATAATTCAGGGCGTATATGCACACGACTCGAAGGGGAACCAGATGGAGCTTGGTAACAGCACTTCTTATGTTGCTATGTTTATGGATGATATCACCAAGAGGGAGCAAGTAGATATTGGAGGAGAGGACCAAGGAAAGAGCCCCGGGGAACGCTGCCGAAGAGAGTGCGGGGGCTGGAGGAAAAGCGGTATGTTAAGGAGCAACACCTGGATTGAAAAGCAGGTGTGGTAAAATAAATTTACCCACCTTTTTGCCGGTTAACATAACGGGTAGCGTCCTCTGTTGACCGATTTCTGTCCCGTTCCACAGACGCTGCATTGAGACAAGCTGAGGCCTGGCTGCTTTGCCCTCTACTGCTCTGTACAGGGGCTGCTTTAGAACTGGATCCTCCCATCCTGTAACAGAGATCAGTATTGAATGGAGCGAGTTACTGATTGTTCATGTGGTGACACAAATCTTCAGCTAAAGCGTTTACTATTCGTGTTTTGCTGGTGCTTCCTATCATATACGCTTGTGTCCACGTAGCTCTTGGATTTCCTCATAATTTCCTCATGAGTTGTGGGGCTCAGAACCACAACCTTCTGACTGAGAGACCAGAGTGCTACCATCGTAGACAAGTGACACATATTCAAGCTGTAAAGCGTAGTTAGGAAAGACCACAGCAGAGGAGTCAACAGCTGCCAGAGTCAACCAATGAAAGTGATGTATATAATAGATAGGAAGTTTGGTAGAAATTAGGAGAACTTTTTTCCCTCTGGTACAGTTTTGCTGTATATCCCATGCCTGACCCTCGCAAGCATCAGTGAACGAGCTTTGATCCCCTCTATCCCAGTTCTAGAAATCTATCCTTCGGTCGCTCGTCCTCGTAACTCACCAGTAAATCCACCAGAACACCTCTCCATCTGAATGAACTTTCAGTAATTTTCAGAGTCCTCCCTCCCATTATTCTCATCTTCCCCACCCAACCCAGCCAGTTGTTTGACTCCCTTTCTCCTAATTTAAAGGGTACTGTTTAAATGTAAAATTGTTGTTGTTATTGCTTTTTCCACAACATTAATAGCATGGGTTTTATAATGTACCAAGGTACATTGTAATCTATCAATGGGGTGAAAACTCCAGAACATAAAGTCATTATACTGAGCAAAACAATTACACCTCTTTTTAATCCTCTGACAATGCAAAACACACAAAGCAGTGCATTAGTGTCGCATCCTGGACAATGTGAGTCCAAGGCTTCGGCTTGGGGTTGAACCCACCGCCTTCTTACACAGGTGAGAGTGTGTGAGTACTGCGCCATTTTGTCATGTGTAGCTCATTGCCCTGCGACATGCAGATGGTGATGCGTCTCTTTATTACACTCTTCCCTTGAGCCATAAAACAACTTACTGCGTACTTTACAGTTTCTTTCACAATTAGCGTCCTGCAAATTCGGTTAAATTGTAAGCATTCCGGAAGTTGCCCTGCGTGAGGGTCGCTATATAAAAGCACGTTTTTTTTTGTAGCTACTTCCACTCCCAAATCACTCGGCTTCCTATCCATCATCAGCGAACAGCAGTGTGACATTGCCACCTCCAAGTTCAACCTTCCCTTAGCTTTATTTCACTAACCTGCCCATTTTCGAGCATCCACTGTGCTCTGTGTCTAATCTCCTCTTCCTGCTCTTTGAACCTCATTTGTGGAATAATTAGTAAAACGTTATCAACACCAACAAGCAGTGTTGCCTTTTGTGGATATTTTCAGTTAATGTAACTGTGAGTTCAGCTCTGGATTTATGACAAGGCAGTTTGGGAGAGTTTTTTTCTGCTGCTTAAAAGTCAATAATAAAAGAAGCATCATGAAAAAAATAATTTCTACTTGTGTGGAACGTGAAAGAAAATGACGGCATAGAGTTGGGAAGAATCAAATTGAGCATTAAATAGGATTCCCACACGGTCAAAGCAAGGGAGAAACATTCAGAAATATCTAGCTTTTCTGCAACATCTCCAAATTCAACAGAGATTGAAACGTGAGTTAGAGGGATGAATTACAAACCAGCGTTAGATAAGCTGGGGAGCTTCAGCCAGAAAAAGAGGCATCTCAAGGAAAACAAAAAACAACAAGAACATTATAGTGCCCTTCACGCGGACAGCACCTCGAAGCATTTAAACAGCAGGGTGGTTGCTGAGCTGAATTTTTTTTATCAGCCGAGTGTCTGAACACTCGAAAACCCACCACCAAACTTAACAGTATCCAAACAAAGCTGAGATTTCCATGCATCCTTCCTACACATGGAAATCCCAGTGATGGATTGTTGGAATGGAATGAACATCCACTCTCTGGAGGGTTGCGCGTGCTTACGTAATGCCGGAGAGTATGAGGAGCAGGTTGGCACGTGCCAAGGCTAAACCGCAATGCGGAAGGATTGAGGCAATAGCTGACAAAAGCGTCTGCACAGGTCGTTAAGGCTGTACAGAGGAGAGCAACCAGGATGATGTCTCGTGTGAGTGGAATGAGCTATGAGCGAGCATGACCTCCACACGAGGGCCCATCGTTGATCAATAATATTGCGGATTAATCAAGCTCACGGGCACATTTTGGACACCATTTCTACTTTATACAATGCTTAATCGATATATAATAAAAATAATGAAACAAATTACATTTAAGCTCTTCCTTGATCACTTGCTCCAGAGTTCTTTAATAGCAGTAAACTTTCACTAACTGCTAAACCACAACAAGTTGCATTTATCTAGCGCTGTTCGCAATACGTGGCTTCTCCAAGCGCAGAAACCAGGAGTAACTTTACTGTTTTATTTCAACCACATTCAGATCTAATAAGAGACTCACCTTCTTTTCTCCCCGCTGACTGAGCTCCGGTTCCTGCCTCTGGTTCTCGAGCCTCTCAGTGATGTTGCTTCAGTGTTCTGGGCTGTACAGGTAATAACACACACTGGTCAGACAGCTAATGTCTGGCAGTAAGTCATTGCCTCGTCCTGTTCCCTTGGAGATTTCCACAGAAACTCAATGTTTGCCTGATACAAAAGTCCTCCTTGTCAGGGTTCATTCCCTAAAGCATCCATTTCAGAGAGTTAGCAAACTGGCAAATGGGGAGTTTTGGAGAATTTGTTTTCCTGCACAGTTGGTTGTTGGGTTATGGAAAGCACTGGTGGGAATGATGTTTGAGGCAGATTCCAGATTGGTTTTGAGATCATCACTAGATACCGATCAAAATGGAGTCAACTATCTAAAAAGGGATTTGGGAAAAGAGCAATGTAAATGGGACTGAAAGGATTGGCATAAAAACAGCCACAACAGCCATCCTTCTTCTGTGCTGTACATCTCGATGTTTCTTTGTTCGTGGGTGTGGCACAAATGTTGGATTCAGTGTTTTTTCTATAAAACACGAATAAGTAAAAGAAGAAAAAAGCATATTGGGGACCCCTAGTTTTTTATATTGTGTTAAATATTGTAATTTTTCTCCCTCATTTTCTCTATTTCTTCTCACACACACTCTCTCTGTCCTCTCCCAGACATTCCTTCGCTCTCTCAATTCCTTTCTCTCTCTCTATCTCCCTTTCTCCCACACACGCCTGTCCCTCCATTCACATTCTCTTTCGCCTCTCACAGTCTCTCGATCTCCACTCTCTCCCCCTCGTCTCCCTCTTCTCCTTCGCAAACACTCTCTCCTCCCACAATCTCAGTCACTTTTTTTCACTCTCTATATGTGCTTTCACCCTCTGTCTCCATGACTCTGTTTATTTTTCTCACCAACTCGACACTCTCTCTCTCTCACCCCTTTCTGTGAAACACTTTCCCTCTCACTTCTCACTCACATTCTCACACACACTCACTCGTAATAAATCTCTCTCCCCTCTGCCATACAGTCACTCACTGCAACTCTCTCACGGCTTTGCTTCTTTCCATTTTCTCCCTCCCTGTCTCTCTTTCGTTTTCTCACCACATCCTTTCTCTGCCGCTTTCTCTGTCCCTCTCCACCCCTCTAAACACACTTTTCTTCTCACACTCTGAATCACTCACTCAAACTTTGCTTTCTGTTTCTCTCTCTCACTCTGCATGTCTCTGTTTCTTTCATTCACCCACAATCTCTCTCTATCACTCTCTCCCCCATTTCTGTCAACCACTCTTCCCTCCAACTCTCTCTCTCCCTGAAACTTCTCACGCACACTCACTCTATCGCGTCATTCCAAGTTCTAAAACCTGGAGTAACTATACTGCTTTATTTCAGCAAAAAACACAGCTTATGAGAGACTCACCATCTTAAATGGTTATCAAATTGGCAAATGGGAGGTTTGGGGAATTTCTTTAGCTGCACAGTTGATTGTTGGGTTATCAAAAGCCCTGGAGGGAGTCCTGTTTGAGGCAGAATGCATAATGACTTTCAAAACATGTCAAAAAGGAGTGAACTATCTAAAAATGGATTTGGGAACGGAACAGGGAAATTGGACTGAAAGGATCGCGATAAAAAAGGGCCACCGCATCCATCGTAAGCTGAATAATCTTATTCATCTGTATGATACTTTGATTGTGGGTGTGGTACAAAAGTTTGGCTTCAGGGATTTTGAAAAACTAAACGGGAAAGGAAGAAATAAACCTATTGGAGATGGCAATGTTTTTAATATTGTGTTAAATGCTGAGGATTTTCTCGCACATTTTCTCTCTTTCCTCTCACACACTCGCTGTGACCTCTCTCTATCACTCACTGCCCCCTCTCCCTTTGTTTCTCTCACACATTCCCTCCCTCTCTCAGTTACTCTCTCTCACACACCCTTTCTCCCCACACATCACCCCTCTCACCTCGCTTTCCCTTCTCAAACTCTCTACCTTCCCTCTCTCGATCACTCACTCCCTTCTTGACTCTCCTCTTTCGCAAACACTTACTCCTCCCACACGCTCAATCATTCACTTCACACTCTGTCTCTGCTTTCTCCCTTCCTCTCTCTGTTTCTTACACTCGCCACAACCCACACACCCACTCCCGCCCGTCTTTCTCTTTCACTCAATCCACCCTTTCTGTCAATCACTCTTGTCCTCATTTTTCACTCACACCTTCTGTTTCTCTTCTATCAGTCTCTGTATCAATCAATCTGTCTCCCCCTCTGTTAAACACTCACTCATTGTCTCTCTATTACTTCTTTGTTTCTGCCACTCCCTGTTTCATTCTCTCGCCCCACACTCGCTCTATCTCTCTCGTTACTCCATATCCATCCACCCCTCTACCCCCACTGTCTCTCTCGTTTCTTACTCACACTTTTACCAACACACACTCTTTTCTCTAATTCTCTCACAATCATTCGGAGTCCTGTAGCTCAGTGGTTAGAGCACTCACTTTGCAAGCGAGAGAACTGAGTTCAATTCCAGGCAGAGGGCGAAACCTTGGGCAAGTTTCCTTACTACACACAGAGCCAAATAATAATCCCTCCAAAAAAACATAATAAATTGATCATTTTCAAGTTACTGTTTGTGGGACACTGCTGTGCGCAATTGACTGCCGCATTCGCCCATAAACATACAGTCAATTCACTTTACAGTGTAGTCTGTGAAGCACTTTAGGACGCCTAGAAGACATTAAAAGTGCTATATCAAATGCAAGGATTATTATTATTATTATTCTCCCTCACTGCCCCTCACCACCACTTTCACACATAATCTCACTCATTCACTCAATCAGTGCTGTCTCCAGCTCTCTCTCCCTGAATCTGCTTCTTTCTCTCATGCCCATCCTCTCTCTAACACACTCTCCTCCATTTCTGTAAAGCGGACTGTCTCTCATATCTCAGGCGCACTCCCGCTATCTCCTTTATACCCTCATTTTTTCTCAATTTATCTTGTTTCACGTCTCTTACCCATTCTCTCATGTGTTCTGTGATTATACGCTGCATGAATTTGATTACATAAAGCATTTGTTGTTGTGTAAGTTAATACAACAAGAAAATGAGTGACGAGTTCTGGTCATTTTCCATTTCACAGATTGTCGCCAATAAAGCTCGTCTCCAGCAATCTGCTACAGAGCAAGAGTAGTTGGGAATCTGTTTTCCGATCCATCATCCGACCAACACCAGCGTGACATTCAAACTTACGTTAGATTCATTTTAACAAACCGCACAATTTAGAGCATCCACTGCGCTCTCTATCTAATCTCCTGATCCTGATCTTTGAACCTCATTTGTGTAATAGTCAGTGAAACGTTATCATTGCCAATGTGCAATGTTGCCTTTTATGGCTATTTTCAGTCAATGTAACTCTGGGTTGGGCTCCGGACTTGGGACCAGGCAGTTAGTCCTTGAAAGTCAACAACTTGAGCACCATTTTGTGAAAACTCATTTCCACTTGTGGGAAAGAGAAAGAAAATGGCGAAATTCCGTCCGATAGATTGTAGACTGAAATATAATTTAGTCTTTTTTCCAACAGCATTAAAGAAATTGAGAACCATTCAGAATTATCCCATCTTCTCTATATCGTCTGTATATTCGGGGAAGATTGATCTCGCGATTTGGAGGAATGAGTCTTAAACTATCGTTGGACAAGCTGCGCCCAACAAAAGAAAAGTTTCAGAGGAGGCAATAAAAACAATAGCAACAACAGCAACAATATAGTGCCCTTCTCTTGGGTTGCAGCTTGGAGCACAAAAGCAGCAGTGAGGTATCTGAGCTGAAATTTTTTTGTCAGCCAAGTGTCTGTCCAAAGAAAACAATTAACAAATGGAGCATGATCCAAAACAAAGGAGAGATTTGCATACTTCCCAAACTACATATGGAAACTCCAGAGTTAGATTGTTGGAACGGAATGAGCACCCTCCCTCTGGAGGGACCATCCTGCTCGCTTCATTCGAAGCGAAGTAGGAGCAGGTTGGCAAGAGTCAAGGCGAAGGGAGACCAGCGTGTGTGTTGGGGTAACTGCTGGAGTCCAACCAACCAAAACCGCAAGGTGGAAGGATTGAGGCAATGGCTGACAAACGCGTCAGCACAGTTCCTTAAGGTAGTGCAGAAGAGAACAACAAGGATAATCACAAATGATAGAGGAATGAACTATGAACAAGGATGAAACAAGCTGATTCATAGATGCACAGAAAGTACAGCTCAGATTCGGCCCGACCGCCTGGCTGTTGCTTAAACTCTACACTAGTATGTTAACAATAGTTAAGATCAATCAAGTTTCCCAATGGAATTCGGAGACCACTGATTTCTTAAACTGTTCTACGATGATTAATTCAAATAACAGCAACGACATGCATTGATATAGCGACCTACATGCCGGACAGTGTGTCGGAGAATGTTGGAGTGGTGGAGGACACTATGTGTGAGGGAGGGAAGAGGTGACCGTAAGCACAGTCGTAAAGCGAGATCTTCCGTTTATGAAACAAATGATATTTTACTCTTGCTCATTCAGTTACTCCTGGTTTCCTTAATTACAATAAATGTTGCACGAACAACAACAAATTGCGTTTATATGGGGTGTTCTCTCTATGCGCGTACAACCTGTAATAACAGTAAGACTTTATTTCAGCCACAATCAGTTCTCATAAGAGACTCACCGTCTTGTCTCCCCGCTGACTGAGCTGCGGTTCGCGCCTTTGGCTCCCGAGCCTCTCAGTTAAGTGGCTTCAGTGTTCTGGACTGTACAGGTAACAACACACCATGGTCAGAGTCCAACAGCTAATGTCTGGCAGTAAATCATAGCCAAGCCCTGTTCCCTTGGAGATTTCCACAGAAACTTAAGTTTACCTGATATAAAAGTCCTCCTGGTCAGAGTTCAATCCCTAAAGCATCAATTTCACAGAGTTAGCAAACTGGCAAATTTGGAGGTTTGGAAAATTTGTTTTCCGGCACAGTTGGCTGTGTGTTATGGAAAGCCCTGGCGGGAATGTTGTTTGAGTCGGATTCCAGATTGGTTTTCAAATCATCACTAGATACCGATCTAAATTGAGAGAACTATCTAAAACGGGATTTGGGAAAAGAGGAATGTAAATCGGACTGAAGGAATTGGCAAAAAAAACAGCCACCACAGCCATCCTTCTTCTGTGCTGTACATCTTGATGTTTCTTTGTTCGTGGGTGTTGCTCAAAAAGTTGGATTCAGGGATTTTCTTTAAAAAAAACTATTCAGTAAAGGAAGGAAAAAATATATTGGATACGCCCGTTTTTTTATTGTGATAAATGTTGTGAAATTTCTCTCATTTTCTCAGTTTCCTCTCACACACTCTCTCTGTCCTCTCTCAATCATTGGCTCCCCCCTCTCGCTCCGTCTCACAGACACTTTTTCACTCTCAATTCCTCTCTCTCTCTCTCATTCTCTCTCTATATCCCCCTCTTCTCCCACGCACGCCATCCCTCCACGCACACTCCCTTTCCCCTCTCACAGTCTCTCTGTCTACGCTCTCTCGATAACTCACTCCTCCTTTTCTACCTGCTCTCTTTCACAAACAATCTCTCCTCCCACAATCTTAGTCAATTTCTTTCACTCTCTGTCTACAATTTTTCACTCTGTCTCCATGTCTCTGTTCCTTTCTCTCACCATCTCTCTCACTCTCACCCCTTTATGTCAATCACTTCCACCTCACACACACTCTCTCTCACTCAATAGGTCTCTCTTCGTCTCTGCCATACAGTCACTCACTGCCACTCTCTCATCGCTTTGCTTTTTCCCTCTCTTTCCCTCCCTGGCTCTGTTTCTTTCTCTCACCCCATCTTCTATCTAACACTCTCGCTGATACAGAGCAATAGTTGGGAATCTGTTTTCACACCCATCATCAGACTAACACCAGCGTGTCTTTGCCACCTCCCACTTCAAATTTACATTTTGATTCATTTTAACAACCCGCCCAATTCAGAGCATCCTCTGCACTCTCTACCTAATCTCCTGATCCTGATCTTTGAACCCCTTTTGTGTAACAGTCAGCGAAACATTATCAATGCCAATGTGCAGTGGTGCCTTTTATGCATAATTTCAGTTAATGTAACTGTGGGTTGGGCTCCGGACTTTGGACCAGGAATATAGTCGTTGAAATTCAACAACTTGAGCACCATTTTGTCAAAAATCGTTTCCACTTGCGGAGAAAGAGAAAGAAAATGGCGGCATTCAGTCCGTTTGATTGTAGACTGAAACATAATTTAGTCTTATTTCCTCCAGAGTAAAGCAATTGAGAACCATTCAGCCTCTATAGCGTCTCCATATTCGGAGCAGACTGGTCTCTCGAATTGGAGGGATGTGTCTTAAACTATCGTTGGACAAACTGCGCCCAACAAAAGAGACGTCTCAGAGGAGGAAATAGAAACAATAGCAACAAAAACTGTATAGTGTTCTTCTCGTGGGATGCAGCTTGGAGCATATCAGCAGCAATGTGGTATCTGAGCTGAATTTTTTTGTCAGCCGAGTGTCTGTCCCACCGAAAACCGATCAACAAACCGAACATGATCCAAAACAAAGCTGAGATTTCCATACATCCCAAACTACATATGGAAACTCCAGAGTTAGATTGTTGGAATGGAATGAGCACCCTCCCTCATGAGGGACATCCAGCTCACTTACTTCGAAGAGTATTTGGAGCAGGTTGGCAAGAGTCAAGGCGAGGGGAGACCAGAGTGTGTGGTGGGGTAACTGCTAGAGTTCAACCAGCCAAAACCGCAAGATGGAAGGACTGAGGCAATGGCTGACAAAACCGTCAGCACAAATCCTTAAGGCAGTGCAGAGGAGAACAACCAGGATGAATACCATTGTTAGAGGAATGAACTATCAGTAAGGATGAGACAAGTTGTGGCTCTTGGATTCATAGATGCATAGAAAGTACAGCTCAGATTCGGTCCGACCGCCTGGCTTTTGCTTAAATTCCCCACTATTATGTTAACAATGGTTCAGATCAATCAAATTCCCCAAAGGATTTCGAAGACCATTTACTTCTTAAAAAATTCTACGAAGGTTAATTCAAATTGAAACAAAAACTAACACTGATACAGCGGCCTTCATTCGGGACAGTGTTTCGGAGGATTTTGAAGTGGTGGAGGACACTGAGTATGAGGGACAGAAATGGTGACCGTAAGAATAGTCGTAAAGCGAGATCTTCCATTAATGAAACAAATGGCATTTTAATTGTTGCTCATTCAGTTACTCCTGGATTCTTTAATTACAATAAATGTTGCACGAACAACAACAACTTGCATTTATATGGGTTGTCCTCTCTATGCGCTTACAGCCTGGTATAAGAGTATGACATTATTTCAGCCACAATCAGATCTAATAAGAGACTCACCGTCTTGTCTCCCCGCTGACTGAGCACCGGTTCCTGCCTCCGGTTCCCGAGCCTTTCAGTGATGTACTTCAGTGTTCTGGGCTGTACAGGTAATAACACACCCTGGTCAGAGTCCAGCAACTAATGTCTGGCAGTAAACACAGCCAAGCCCTGTTCCCTTGGAGATTTCCACAGAAACTCAATGGTTACCTGATATAAAAGTCCTTCTGGTCAGAGTTCAATCCCTAAAGCATCAATCTCAGAGAGTTAGCAAACTGGCAAATGGGGGCGTTTGGAGAATTTGTTTTCCTGCACAGTTGGCTCCCCTTCTCGCTCTGTCTCACAGACACTCTTTCGTTCTCTCAGTTCCTCTCTCTCTATCCCACTCTTCTCCCACACCAGCCCTCCCTCCACTCACACTCCCTTTCCCCTCTCACAGTCTCTCTCTCTACGCTCTCTCGATAACCCTCTCCTCCTTTTCTCCCTCCTCTCTTTCAAAAACACTCTCTCCTCCCACAATCTTAGTCACTTTCTTTCACGCTCTGTCTCCATGTCTCTGTTTCTTTCTCTCACCACCTCTTTCCCTCTCACCCCTTTCTGTCAATCACTTTCCCCCTCACATTTCACTCACATTCTCACACACACTCTCTCACTCAATAGCTATCTCTTTGCCTCTGCCGTACATTCACCCACTGCCAATCTCTCACCGCTTTGCTTATTCCCACTTTCACTCCCTGTCTCTGTTTCTTTCTCTCACCCCATCATCTCTCTACCGCACTCTCTCTCCCCCTCTAACACACACACTCTCCTTCTCACACTCTCAATCACTCAGTCACGCTCTGATTTTTCTCCCCCCTTCTCTCCCCCTGTCTCTTTAACTCATCTACTCTCTCTCTTTCTCTCTATCATTCTCTCCCCTATTTCTGTCAACCATTCTTCCCTCCAACCTCTCCCTCTCAATTCTCATGCGCACACTATCTCTTCTATCCTCTCATTCCAAGTGCTTAAAATCTGGAGTAACTTTACAGTTTTGTTTCAGCCACAGTCAGCGCTAATGAGAGACTCACCGTCTTCTCTCCCCACTGACTGAGCTTCGGTTCCTGCCTCTGGTTCCCGAGCCTCTCAGTGATGTGCTTCAGTGGTCTGGGCTGTACAGTAATAACACACCCTGATCACAGTCCAGCAGCTAATGTCTGGCAGTAAATCATAGCCAAGCCCTGTTCCCTAGGATATTTCCTTGGAAACTGAATGTTTACCTGCTATAAAAGTTCCACTGGTCGGGGCTCAGTTCCCAAAGCATCAATTTAAGATAGAGAGATCGCAAATTAGCAAATCAGGAGGTTTGGAGAATATGTTGTCCTACACATTTGGTTGTTGGGTTATGGAAAGCCCTGGCGGGAAGGGTGTTGAGGCAGAATCCATATTGGTTTTCAAAACATGTCTACATATCGATCTAAACGGAGTGAACTATCTACAAATGGATTTGGGAACAGAGCAGCGAAATGGGACTGAAAGGTTAGTTATAAAAAGTGCCACCACATCCACCATAAGCTGAGTAATCTTCGTCTGTGCTGTACATCTCTATGTTACTTTGTTTGTGGGTGTGGTACAAAAGTTTGGCTTCAGGGATATTTCGAAAAACTAAATGGGAAAGAAAGAAATAAACTTATTGGAGATGCCATTTTTTTTAATATTGTGTTAAATGTTGTGGATTTTGTCGCTCATTTTCTCTCTTTCCTCTCACACACGGTCTGTATCACTATCTCAATCAGTCTCTGCCCTATCTCCCTTTGTTTCTCTCACGTATTCCCTCCCTCTCTGTTACTCTTTCACACACGCTTTCTCCCCAAACAACATCACACCTCTCACACTCTCGTTCCCCTCTCACACTCTCTCTATCTCCCCTCTCTCTATCACTCACTCCGAATCTTCATCTCCTCTTGCGGAAACACCTTCTCCTCCCACACGCTCAATCATTCTCTTTCACTTTCTGTCTCTGCTTTCTCCCTCTATGTTTATGTTTCTTACTCTCGCTCCCCACCCCAAACGCTCCCCAGCGCGTCTTTCTCTTTCACTACATCCACCCATTTTGTCAATCAATCTTGTCCTCATTTTTCGCTCACGTTTTCACACTCTGTCTCTCTTCTATCAGTCTGAGTATCAATTAATCTGTCTCCCCCGCTGTTAAACACTCGCTCTATCACTTCTTTGTTTCTTTCATTCCCTAAACTTCTCTGTTTCATTATCTCACACTCACTCTATTTCTCTCTTGACTCCCTCTGCTTCCACACTGTTCCCCCTCCTGTCTCTCATTTCTTACTCACTCTCTTACCCACACACAAACTCTTCTCTCACAATCATTCTCCCTCACTGCCCCTCACCACCCCTCTCACACACACCCCGTCTCACAATCTCACTCACTCAGTCAATCACTAATTTTTAAATCGCTCTCTCCGTGAATCTGTTTCTTTCTCTCCTAACCGTCCTTTCTCCAACACACTCTCCCCCATTTCTGTAAATCGGACTGTCTCATTTCTCAGGCGCACTCTCCCTCTCTCCTCTATTATCTTGTTCTTTCTCAATTTATCTCGTTTCACTTCTCTTTCACATTCTGTCAATTGCTCTGTGATAAAACGCTGCATCAGTTGCATTACATAAAGCATTTACTATTGTGTAAGTTAATACAACAAGAAGATGAGTGACGAGTTCTGGTCATTATCCATTTCATAGAGTGTCACCAATAAAGCTCGTCTCCAGAAACTGTACAATCTGCTGCAGAGCAAGATTGGTGGTAATCTGTTTTCCCATCCATCATCAGACCAACACCAGTGTGACTTTGCCACCTACCACTTCAAATTCACCTTTGATTCATTTTAACAACCCGCCCAATTTAGAGCATCCACTGCGCTGTCTATCTAATCTCCTGATCGTGATCTTTGAACCTCATTTTCTGTAACAGTCAGTGAAACGTTATCATTTTTTTTTTCGTTCAATCACCCGGCGTCGTGGGTTGGTGACCACCTACGGTCCGCCTTGTCGCTTTCCTTTCACTGTTGTGTAGATTTTGTCGCAGCGGCGATTGCTGCCAGGTATGTACACAAACCCTCGGTAACAGACACGCTGCACAGATTTCGTCAAACACCACCCCCCCCCCCCCCCCCCCCATCCCTTGTGGCGACCGATAACATTATTTGATTGATAACTTGGCCCCTTTTGAAATTAAAAAATTAAAATACAACAGACCCGCAAACGGAGTCCTGTAGCTCAGTGGTTAGAGCACTCGCTTTGCAAGCGAGAGACCTGAGTTCAATTCCAGGCAGAGGGCGAAACCTTGGGCACGTTTCCTTACTCCACACAGAGCCTAATAACAATCCCTCCAAAAAATAAAACAATAAAAAATCGGTCAATTTCAATCTACGACTGTTTGTGGGACATTGCTGTGCGCAATTGGCTGCCGCGTTCGCCCACAGATATACAGTCAGTTCACTTTACAGTGTGTTCTGTGAAGTGCTTTGGGACGTCCTCCCGACGTGAAAAGCGCTACATCAAATGCAAGGATTATTATTATTATTATTATCATTGCAAATATGCTTGGGACCCGGAAGATAGTCAACAACATGAGCAACATTTTATCAAAAATCGTTTCCACTTGTCGGGAAAGAGAAAGAAAATGGCGGCATTCAGTCCGTTAGATTGCAGACTGCAACATAATTTTGTCTTATTTCCTCCAGCGTAAAAGAAAGTGATACCCATTCAGAAATATGCCATCTTCTCTATAGAGTCACCATATTCGGAGCAGACTGATCTCTCGAGTTGGAGGGATAAGTTGCAAATTATTGTTAGATAACAAAGGGAGATTCACCCAGGAAGAGAGACGTCTCAGAAGAGGCAATAAATTCAACAGCAGCAACAACAGTACAGTGCCCTTCACGTGGGTAACATCTCGGAGCACTTAAGGAACAGTGTTACATCAGTTCGGACCACAAAACGTAATAATTATACACAGAAACACACACTTCCACTCTCTCTCTCTATCTCTCTATCTCTCACACACTCTCTCACATTCTTTCCCTCTCACTCTCACACACTCTCACCCTTTCACTCTCACACAGTCTCTCACTCTCACACTCTTACTTTCTCACACAGTCTCTCACTATCTCACAGTCTCTCTCTCACATTCACACTCTCGCACAGTCTCTCACTCTCTCACACACTCTCTCTCGCGCTCTCTCACACACTCGCACAGTCTCTCTCTCACTCTCTCGCTCTCACAGTCTCTCTCTCACACACTCTCACACTTTCTCTCTCATTCTCTCTCTCTCTGTCACCGACACTGACCGTCGTCTCCGCCGCCATCACCACCTCCCGCGGTCCCGCTTCGCGCTCAGACAGACAGGCGCCGCGCCCCGAAACACCGTCAGCCCCGCGCCCGGAGACGGCACTGCGCAGGCGCCGAGTTCAAAAAAAAACCGTCGGCCTCGCGCGCGGAGACGGCACTGCGCAGGCGCCGAGTTCAAAAAAAAAACCGTCGGCCTCGCGCTCAGGGACACCACTGCGCAGGCGCCGAGTCAGAGGGAAAAAGATGCGCCAAAGTCAGGCGACGAGAGACACACAGAGAGAGAGAGAGACAACCGACCGACAGAGGCGACTGAACCCATCGACCGTTTAAACCTCACACTGAGGCCTCCCGACGCCAATGAATAACCCACACAAACAATTCTGGAAGTTTATACCCGAATGAGAAAGGCTGATCCCGTCACTACAGTCATCCACGCACTTGATCCACAGAGAGCCCAGACATTGGGGCCTCACCCAAATATATTGCCCACAATACACACAGTGAGTTCACTTTACACTATATCCTGTGTTGCGCTTTAAGATGTGATGAGGCGCCAAAACAAATGCAAATATTATCAGTGTTATCTCTGAAATTACTAGTGTTTGCACTAACTGCTTCCGCTACAGGACTCCACCGATTATATCGCTGCCTTCAAATAACACCCCGAGAAACCATAAGGACACTAATGTTCAGCATTGGAAATAAATGAATAGATGTGGACGCTTTGGATCAGAAAAGATTCCATCCTGATCCAACAGACATCAAATAGCCATCCAGCAACACCTCAACATTATACTGTTAAAACATGACAGAAGTTGTATCGTTCCAGATCATAGCATTTAATATGACTAAGTTAATATAATAATAATAATAATTCTTGCATTTGGTACCGCGCCTTATCGCGTCTTCACAGAATAACCTTCAATGAATTGTCTGTGTTCTCTGACACTGACAGCCAAGCGCTGGAATGGCACTGAATCGCGGTTTACTGTGGCTTTTAGGTTTCACATCAACGTCAATATGAAGGACAAATACCTCGAGGAGATAGTTCATGACAATCTCGT